GTATCTGTGAGAAGCACCCATGTTGTTGCTTGAATTTGTAGTTTCTTCGCTGAATAGTACTCCATTGTGTGAACATACCACACGTTGTTATCGAAAAAAAGAATACATCCAGTAAGAGGAGGTGAGCGACCCGGAGACTGCCAACGGCGGGCCCAACGCTCCTCCCTGCCAGGGGGCTGAGGGAAGGGGCTGGTGCTTCAAGAGCTCAGTGAGAGCTGACAGTGACAGGAGCTGAGTTGTAGCAAAGGCAGCCGCTGCCAGGACCATGATGAGGGACAGAAAGAGGAACGATAACAAGGCTACCATCTCTGCCATCCTGCGTAAACCCAGCTGGAAACGGAGGCAAGGGCCGCATCCATGCCCAGAACAGCCAAGCAGGGGACGGCCTTGCAGAGGCACCGGAGCCCTGCCGGGCGTGCCCAGGGAGGGCAGTGCCTGCGACCCTCCTTTTTTTATTATTTTCATTTTAACTGCAGGAAAGTTACAAGAGAAATTTAAAGATACAATATTGCTTGTAATTATATACTTGGTACATCTGTCAATTAGCGATGCCACGTCCAGTAGGGCAACATCAAGTGGTGCTAAAATGGGCAATTTGTTCCAGGACTTTATTTTTATCTTGCTCATTATTAAAAATTCAGCTTCGCACAGGTGGAAAACAGAAACACTCCACGCTTCTGTTTAGTGCAGAACACCGTGCGTGAATTAAGAGACGGATACAAAGCCTCCCCCGGCCACAGCCTCCTCCCATCCACCGTCCTCACACTGCTGCAGAGAACTTGCATCAGGAGATTCTTCATTAAACTTTCATTTTAGACATTTTAGACAGACAGGGGGAAAACTAGACTGTGGCTTTCCTACATCCCTGACCCGTCTCCCTTCTTACTGACACCCCACACTAATGCCGTACTGGTCACAAGCAAGATGCCAACACCTACATGGGATTGTTAACTGAAGTCCGTGCTGAGACAATTTCTCAGACCTTCCTCGTGTTGGATGGCCTGGACAGCTTGGGGGTGCTGGCCAGGTATTTTGGAAAACGTCCCCCAGGTATGGCTTGATAATGTTCTCCTGATGAGACGTGGCTCTGCGTTGGGGGTGGGCGGGGACCACAGAGGTAGAGTGCCCTTTGCCTCACCTCACCCTGAGGACACACACTAGCCACGTGACTCGCCACTGTCAATACTGACCTCGGGCAGCCTCTGGGCTGGCGTCACCAGGTCCGCTCTTCGTCACTCTTTTCCCGCTTTCTACGCTGAGCTCTTGGGGAAGAATCACTCGGCGCAGCCCACACTTACGGAGCGGGGGTGCAGCTCTGCCTCCTTGGGGAGGAGACACGACACAGATTATTTAAAACTCTCAGGCATGGGAAATCTATTTTTGTACCATTCATTTTCTTATTCAATGCAGAGATTTATTTTATATTCTAGATTCTCATCCAATGCTCTTTTATTTTCTTGTTCAAATTGTTCTATCCTAGGCCGCTAGCAACTTCAGGGAGAATTTTTATAACATAGAAAATACAGTTAAATTACTCTACCCTGGGGTCCCTCAACCTTCTAAATGGTTTTTTTTTTTTTTCATTTTGGTATTAGGCTTGCTCTGTGCTGCACAGTTCTACGGGTTTTGATAAATGCGTGGTGTTGGCTGGCCGCCCACCATCACTTACCATGCAATGTTATTCTGTCTCGGATACTCTCTCTCTCTTCCTCTCCCTCCTTGCCTCCTGCATCCACCCCCTCCTCTGTTTCCCTCCACTCCTGTCTTTTAGCTCCCTCCTGGGGGCTGATTCCTCTACAAGCGAGTCCACAGCGCTCCGTGGTCACAGGCTGTGTCTCTGACACATTACCACCCTCCCTGGGCTCAACATGCCTCAGCCTCACGGGCTTGCTCATGTCATACTGCAGCAGGTCAGACTGTCCCACACCAGGGACTTTGACCTTGCCACGTCCTCCACCTGCACCCCTCTTCTTGTCTTCCTCGTATGTTCACCAAACATCACCTTCACAGAGAGGCCTTCGTGGCCACGGAACCGCAGCCTCAGGTCTGATAATCGCTCTCACTGTTTTTTTTCTGTGGCCCTTAATCCTGCCAAGGCACACTTTCCTTATTTACTGTTGTTGGCTTTTTTCTCTTATGAAAACCTCACCCATACAAAGGAATTTTATCTTCAGCACCTAGAATAATGTCCGGACCCTACCAGTGACTGGCCAGTCAAATAACTTTTAAAATGACTATTCTTATGGTAGTTTTAGAGGCTAGAATTCCAACCTCTCAGCAGGCTCCTTTTTTTTTTCCCAGTACTGAGGATTGAACCCAGGCCCTTAGCCCTGAGCTGCATCTTAGCATTTTCTTTCTAGAAATGATCTTGCAAAGTTTCCCAGGCTAGGCTCAAATTTGGGATCCTCCTGCCTCAGCCACCTAGAGTGCTGGGATTACAGGTGTGCACTACCACTTCCTCTTAGGCAATCTTCTTGGCTTTCAGCTGCCCAGCCTCTGTGTCCCCGCACAGTGCTCTGCTGCATGTGCGCACCGCTGGTGTGTCCCCGCTCAGACTCCCTCTCCTCGCAAGGACAGCGCTCACCCTGGGGAAGCATCGTCCGCCCCGTGGCCTCGCCTTGTGTTAACTCATCCCTTCCTCGAAGTCCCTCCTGCAAGCACCTTCCCACCCCGGGCACCTTCTCACGCTCTTCCGGGGCCCTAGTCAGCCTCGGCGACTGCCCTTCCAGTGGGCGGTCATTTCTGCTTGCTGTAAGAAGGCGCCAAAGGTGAGGCCGCCACGTAGCCACGTCCTGGAATTTCCGCATCATCGGTGCTCATCACTACCTACTCTTACTCTTGTGACTTCTTCAAAAGTAACGTTCATCAAATTTTTTTAAAGAGCCTATCACCTCAGCACCTCCAACAAAGCTACAGGAAATTAGCCAAGTTCCAGGGCAGTAGAGAAGGATGCATCTTGGATATCTTGCTTGGGCCTTTATATTATACCCGATTTATGGATCACTGTATTTGTCAATGCCAGACTTGCTTTGGTCCCTCAAATGACTATGGAGAGAAAAAAGCCAAGGATATCACTGTGAAGAACCCTAATATTGAAAGGAGAACAAAGAAATTAGGACCTCACTACTATGCAGTAAATGATATTTCCCCAGAGAAATGTGTTCAAATCCTAAACCCTGGTACTAGAAACATGACCTTGTTTGAGAAAAGGGTCTACACAGACATGACCCAATTAAAATGAAGTCATTATTGACTAGGGTGGGCCCAAATGCAACATGACAGGTGACCTAATAAGAAGAAGAAACAAGGACAAGGAGGAGAACATCCCAGGCGGGAGGAAGGTGACCACGGGATGGCAGAGACTGGAGCTGTGCAGCCACAGGTCAAGGACAAGGGACGCTGCGGCTGGGAGAGGCAGGGAGGGATCCCCGCAAGATGCTTCAGATGCACTGGGGCCCTGAGCCATGTGTGGACCCCGCCCTCAGACCTGGGAGACAGCTCATGCTGTTGGAAGCCACCCAGCGGGTAGCGCTTTTTCAAGACAGGCCTAGGAAGGGAAGACACCTGAGGAGAAGCCAAAGAGGAAGCGAGAAAACCAGAACCTGTCCAAAGCCGGAGGAGGGCTGCAGATGGGCGTGGTCTGTACGGTCAGCTACTCCAGGGAGGCTGGATAATACAGCGTCCACGGACTGAGCATTATTCAAACGTAGAGGAGTTTATTGTTCACGTGTGAAGAAGCATGAGGCAGCTTCTGACGTAGAGGGAGGGATCACTTCCTGTCTAAAAGGTTAAGGAAGACTTCACAGAGAGCATAGCATTGAAACTGGGATTAAAAGAATAAGAAAGAGTTCCTCATGCAGAAAGGGGTGAGGGGAAAGTAATACGGTCAGAGGGGGGAAAAGAGCAGAATTATGGAGGGAAAACCTTCAGGACACGTTGAGGAAAGCACCGATAGAACACAGGGAGTTTATTAAGATGTTGCTTGGGTCCAGATCACGGGTGTCCCAGTGCTGCGATACAGAGCGTGTACCCTGCCCTAGGAAGTGGGGGTGAGCCATGTACCCTGGCTGCAAGCTACGAAAGCTGGAAGATAAAATGCTTTGCAAATCCTGGCATGTAAGCAAGCATCGTGGACTGTGGACAATGTCGGAAGACTTCGGAGCACTGAAAGAAGAAGAGGTTCTGCAGACCTGAGCCACAGAGGCAGTAGACTTGAAATGCAGTTCTTGTTCTTTAAGCTCCTCCGTGGGCCAAGCCCCCTTTGGGGGCTTTGCATGAACCCTGACAGCGCCGCTCTGGGGTGGAATTCACTATCCTCACTATACTGCTACAGCCTGAGTCTCAGAGAATTCAGTATCTCATCTGGAGTCACAGAGCTGGTAAACAGGGGTGGGGAGGTAGCCAGTGGCAAAGTGGGGACTTCTCACATGCGAGGCCCTGGGTTCGAATCCCAGCACCACCAACTCAGAGGAGCTGATATTTGTACATAGAAACCGGTTTCTGGTTAGGTTCCCACCTCATCCGCTTAGCCCACCCCATCCTACAGATCATGGGACTAATCGGGGCTAATCTGGAAAGCTGTAAAATGAGTCTCTATATTTTTGTCATTTTCAGCTTCTCCCTTCCCTCCAAAAAAGGAAATTGCGAACACACGCAGTGCTCGAGGGCAACTTGCTGTCTTGACTTGCAGGTGGTTTGCGTCCATTTCCCCACCTCTTCTCTCCTTTCCACCGTTCCACGGTCCTAAGCATTTAATAGCTTTCCTTTTTCCAGCAGCGCCAGCGCCATCAGGGCATTTCAGCACAGGAAGAAGTGCCCTTGGAGCTGTCTACAGTGCGAGCGACGCTGCTGTTGAGCGCACCCAGGTTTCCCTTTAGACCGGGACCATTCAGTGCTTCTCTGTCGGAGACTCACCGGTGACCGTTTCCCTCGAGACAGACGTGAATGAACCAGGCAGTTTTCTAATGGCAGTGAATTAGGGGGAGAAAGCTTTACCTTGATTCCTGCTTGCAAGTTTATTGCCTGAAATAAAGACACAAACTTCGGAAGAGAGCGTTCTTTCACGCTTGACAAAAGAGGACTCGGGCTATTCTTCAAGGGGCTTTTAGAGAAGTCCTTGATTTATTTTTCAATAATAAACTGTCAGAGGTTCTGGCATGCGCCTGCATGACTCGAGCATGGAGATAAGCGACTGAGTCACTGCAAGGTGACTGGCTGCTGCCCTTTGATCCTCTACACTGAAAACAGGAGGACCTGCCGGGTAGGAAAGAAAAGAACAGGGAGCAAATGAATGTTTTGCCTTCTTCTCTTGATATAATAAACGCACTTATTGTTGCCATGGCGAAGAGCCGGCCTGCCTCCCCATTCCTCCGTCTCTGCCCATTATTACATCCAATCCCAGGAAATGTCATGTGCTGCCACCGCCGCTCCTGGGCCATTATGCTCAGCCATCTACTCGGCGCGCGCCGCTTCCTCCGGCCTCCTTCACAGCAACACTCGGGAAGGGACCAAAGGGAGGGAGG